AGATATTTAAAATATTTGAAATTATTGATATTTTTTTTAATGTTCTGTCTAAAATTACAACACCTTAGAATTTTCTCTGAGCTAAATTACAATATAGATGGTCCAGTAATTTAAACAATTAGATTAAGCTAAATTAAATATTAAATTAAATTAAAGCCAGCAGACATCTTAGATTAACATCTTTTATTTGAATCTTATAATCTCTATACTGTAATCCAGCTCAGTGAAAACTCAGGGGTCAGTGGTGAGGGATATACGTGACACTCGGCAGTCGTCTCAGGTAGACTTAGTTGTCACAGAAAAAGGCAGTTCACATCCTCTATAGTGCATCAGCACTGCTCGCATGCGCTCATCACCCGTCTCTGCCCTATACATGCACTGACATTATCAAGTGTTAGACATCCCATAATACAGGCGATTTGTGGTTCAACTGCAACTAACAACCATATTGTTAACTGATAAATTGCTGGTACAAAAATTGCCAAGTGATAAGCTGCTGGTACAAATGAAGGTTATTGGTTAAAAAAATGAAATACTTATGTTTCGTATCAATATGGCAATGATGTGCATGTATTTGTAATGCGTAGGGCCCCCGCCTGGTCCCTTCAGAGAGGCACATTTCTCTGGTAAAGCATTCCCATGATTGATGTCCCTCAGAGACTTGTGGGCCCTAAATATTACAGAGAGCGCAACTGGCTCATGAATGCATGCCGTTATAATTCAACAGTGTGAAAAGTAATAAAACTGCTCAGGCATTTATGGTTGCAGAGCCAGGGCTCTTAATGGCTTTTTTGGGGGGGAGGGGGGGATTTGCATGCATATTACAAAACAGTGATGTTGTTTCATGTACATGCAGATATGTACAAACCCATGTGTGTTTCCATATACTGTACTGTCACAATTTTATGTTGTAATTTGATTGAATTTCTAAAACATCTGAACAACAATAATACACGCTTATTGTATGCAGAGCAGAAGCATTATTGTATTAAAGTGACAGTACACCCAAAAATGACATTTTTGTCATAATTGATGTGTTTTAAATCCACACTCTAAAAAATGCTGGGTTAAATATAACCCAGCACTGGGTTAAAAAGGGACAAACCCAGCTATTGGGTTGTTTTGAACCCAACTGCTGGGTCAAAACAACCCAACCGCTGGGTCAAAACAACCCAATACCTGGGTTTGTCCCTTTTTAACCCAGCATTTTTTAGAGTGCATACTTTGCATTCAAGATAAAAGTTTTATCTGTGCATGCATTGCCCGAGGAAACTGAACTCATGAGCTTGGTGTTGCAGGCACCATCTATTACTTTTTGAGCTTTCTGAGGAGACTTTTGTGGAGTTTGGCACAAGCTGTGTAAATCATCATCTAAAGCCACTGTATGGAAAAGAGCAGCTTGAACATTCTGTCAAACCTCTCTTTTTGTGGTTTACAGAAAAAATAAAATAATAATGGGGATAGAGCATCATCATTGTATAAATAAAGTGCATAAAGGCTGATTTTTATTAGATTTTTTTTATTTTAGATGTATTTATTGTTTAATTAATTTTCATTTTAATTTAACTGTATTAAATTTTTATTTATTTATTATTTTCCCAGGCCTGCAAATCACAATTTTAAAATTGAAAATTTCTATGACCATTGGAGCCCTGAAAGAATGCATATGAAAGAAAGAAAGAACAAGAAAGAAGTAGAATAAATTAATAAATCTTTGATGCTACATTTCTCCGGCTGTTAAGCCCCGTTCACACCGCCAGCGACTTTTTCGCTGCTTGTCGCTTGTGGCTGGCAATTGAGGTCGCTCGTGGGCCGCTGCTTGTCGCTTGTGGCTGGCAATTGAGGTCGCTAGTGGGCGTTCCCACTACTGATTGCCTAGTTACCCCCGTAACACTCCACTACAGCAGATGAATCACGTGCTCTCCACTGACTTCACTCCCACATTGGTTGTCGCTCGCGAAATTCGCTGCTTATTTGCATAAAGTTGAAGAATTCTGAACTTTTGTCACTTGACTCGCATCGCTTGACACGCCCATATCCCGTCGCCAACGGTCGCCGGAAGTCGCCAGCTCTCCATTGAAAATGAATGGGATTATGTCGCTCTGTCGCTGGCGGTGTGAACGGGGCTTTAGAGTGATAGTAAATAATGACAGAATTTTCATTTCTGCTGACTATTTATTTTTTAACACAGAGACACAAGATCCTATCTAGTGAGTTGAAAAGGTCCAGCTTTTTCATCAGTGCAACAGAGGTCATTGGTCACCAGAATGTTTTATATCTAAGGCAGATTGTCTGGTTTTGTTGTCATCAGATTGCACGGTTTCTCATTTCTGTGCTATGCCAACAACACCTAATTGCCTTCACCTCAATAGCCACACTGAGGAAATCTCAACAAGGCTCTTTAACATCTCTGCTGGATGGCTGATCATCAGCTGCGCTCTTGGCAAGGCTGAGTACCTAAATTCAAAGTTTCTTCCATCCCTGTTGAAGGTCAATTTTTTTCATCTTCTTGTTTTGTCTGCCATTACATCAAAAACCCTGGAGTCATACTGGATCACGCCACAGAAACCAGCTGATTGAGCAACATCAAAAGTCAAATTTAAGAATGCTTCATAATTCATGCGGCCTTCTGCAGCTTTAGTCATTGTCAACGACATTACGGCAAATTACTCACTACTGGTTTGACTTTAGCGCACGCAACGCAACCTTTTACAATAATTCACTCTGTGGAACACACACAAAGATATTCTGAAGAATGTTAATGCTGTTCTTTTCCAATTAAAGTGAATGGGGTTGGATGATGCGACACTCCAAAAATGACAAAAAGAGCCAATAAAGCACCACAAAAGTAGTCCATATGACTTCTGTCAAATCTTATGTCAAACCTGGTGTGATTTGTCTTGATGCACAATTTTCCAGTATACACACACACACACACACACACACACACAACTAAGCTTTGATAGTTGTTGTATACATGTTTTACATATACATGTTTTGTTCTACAAAATAAAGTCATATAGGTTTGGAAGTATATGAAGGTGTGAAAATGAAAATGAAATTGTCATTTTCAGTCCAAAATGTTGCAGCAAACTGAAACAGGTGACTAATAAAAAAACGACTAATCTTATTTCCCCTTCATTCTGACCACACACACTATTAACTAATGTCTCCGTGCTGCCAAAAGCACTACGATCTTGTTGGCACTATGTACTTACTGGCAGTACAAACTTATTGGCGCTCCTTGGCCTTATCCTTGATTTATATATTTTGCTATTAACGCAACTATTAGTCAAACCTAAAATATTCACTTTTGTATGATAGCATAAGCCAAGAAAATACATTTTCTCATTAGCTGGTCCGTTGATTTTGCCTACAGCTGTCTAAAGCAATGCCTTTAACCTTTGACAAGGTGGGAAATTCAGATTTATTATTTGGTCAAAATGAAAATATAAATGGGCAATTTCCAAAAAACTTAGACCTAATCCTTCACAGAATTAAACAGGACATTGTACCAAGAAAATGTGTTTTTTCTTAAATTACACAATTTATTTAAATACTGGTGTGTAAAATAGGCAAACATGCATATATAATTATTTTTATATAAACATATTATTTTAAGTAAAAAAAAAAAGCTGAAATTAGGCTTTTACAGCCATGAAATTCAAAACCCAGGCAATATCCTTGACTGCTAAAATGTATGTAAATCAATGTGAAATTGACATGTCCCTCTGTGATTAAATCCTTTGGACTAATCTGTCCATCCCACAAGAAAATAACAGTGATATTTCCCTACTGGAAAAGCCACACATGGTTTCACTTCATAATAAGCCTGTCTGATTCAACTTGAATTAGATATTTGTCTCTATTTGCAAGCTAAATTAAATAATGATCAATTGAAAAAAAAAATAATAACAATTTTTTCCTGTACACTTTTTGACAACAAGGTTAGACTTTAAAAAACATTTTATACATAATGCACATAAAAAGTGATTTCTGTTACATAAATTACTATTTAGTTCATTTAAGATTGTATTACTTAATTTTATATCAATTAATTTGCTTATTAGTTTAATAAGGCTTGCAAATCACAGTTCACTGAAATGTTCTGGTTCTCTATGACCATGGGAACCCTGAAAGAATGAATATGAAAGCGAAGTGGAGAAGTGGAATAAATCAAATAAATCTTTGATGCTACATTTCTTTGGCTGCAGAGTATTTTAAGAAACATCATGAGGGCTGTTCAGAAATGTACAGGATTTCATCCTGGCCAACACAAGCTAAAAGGCATCTTTTGCATTACAATGAAGATATGGATGCTGAATTGTATATAATTCACCAGTAATACCGTAATACAACAATTCACTGATGCAAGGTCATAGGACTGAGTGCTTTCCAAGTATTATAACCATCAAGTCAAGTTCTTTCTCTCAACAAATAAGGGCAAAATCTGCCTTAAGTGCAGATTTGGACACTTACTAATACCAATATAGAGACATTGTACAGAAAGCCTCCATACTTAATCTATAAACTACATTTCTGTTGAGAACTGCAAGTCCGAGTCAACACAGTTAATAGACTATGCATCTCATGTTATGCTCTAGTAGATTTCTGTAATGATTTTATGAAGATTCAAAAATACTCAAAGTAAGTCCAAGCTTATTAGGAAAAATGTCCATTCAACCTAGTCTTGTCTATTCAACTGGCTAATAAGCTGTGAACGGCTACTGTTAAACCAGGTCAACGAGTCACTGACAGGATTTCATGGCATGATTCGATTAAGCCGGTGAGAAACGGAGAGGATTCAGTGCTATTGAAGATAATCCGATTGTAATTCTATGGTAATGGGTATCATTTCAAGCACAATGTGTTGAGCATTAGTCTGGAGGAGAGAATGTGTTAAAAACTCACTGATTCTTACGACAGCAGAACCTTCTGCGAAAAAGCACCAAAATTAACATGACAGTAAAGTGAAGACACAGTAAACAGCTCTGAGTTACCTGGATTTCCCTGGCATGATATATGATAATCAACCCAAGAAGAATGATTGTAGAAAGGCTTATCAGGCATTTTAGGGCTAAAGAATACAGTGACTCCTGAAAAAAAAAAAGAAGAAAAGGACAAATTCAGCTCATTTGGATTAGTCGGTTTAAACATACACAACAATTGCAAATCGATTACTACACCTATAAAAATATTATTGCAACACATTACTGTTTTATATGAATGATTCAGAGACTTTTGTGAATGTTTGGATTAAGTTACACCTTCCTGAAAATATCACAACATAAGCACTAATGCAAGCACATCTGAGACCATTACATAATTTAAGTGAAATTGGACTAACCTTCCATGTGGTAACATATTTACCTTAATTTTCAACATACTGTATTGACAAAACAATATGTCATTTTTAAGACACACTATGATTGATTTTCCTGGCGTTACTCTTACAGGGGAGACACGAGTGGGGATGTGTTGCTCGGATTGCACTATTAAAGTCATTCTGAAGCAGATAAACAGCTGCTTTTTGTTCACAGATCAACCATCTAACATAGTTTTACAATAAATCGAGAGAATATGAATGTTGTCAATTGGAATCTCTGTGGCAAAATGAATTGCAGTAATGCATATCCTCTTTGGGACTTTTAGAGGCATCAATTATTTATATTACTGTGATTATTTAATTATTTTAAAGTACTTATAGAAATAATAATACATTTATACACAAATAACACAATTATGGTTCAATATTCTACAGAAAGTCCAAGAAGAAGAGTGTACAATTGACTCTAAAAGTGATGACAGGCTAGACTTATTACAGCAAAAGCAAAAGATATGTAATAATTACTAACTCAATTTGAGTTTCTAAGAGTTTCAAATAGATTAATGTATAACAGTTAGTTCCGGTAATTTGATTGGTCGAGCTTCCCAATAGGGCCTAGTGGAGCTATTTATTTTAACAACATTAGGAAGTTTCACTGTTTGCCTGCGCTGTAAAAAATGATCGTGATTTTAACAGTAAAAGACTGTAAAAATACTACAGTAAAAACCCGTTAACTGTTTAACAGTAAGTTTCCATACTATAAACGGTGAATAATTATGATTACATTTAATATAATTTACAGTGAAATACTGTTAAAATTACAGAAGTGAAAAAGAACAAGTCATTGTGTAATTTACAGTGAAAAACCGTAAACTGACACTATCAGAATTCCCTGCATGAGACTTCTTTTATCTTTTTTTAGGTTTTATCTTACATCTAATGTTGTTAAATTAATGTTTATTGCATTCTTTCAGTATAATATGTTACCATGATGGTGTTTAGTGTTTTGTGTGAATGACACTGTGCACCTTCTACATATATACAGAAGTATTTCCCTCCTCGGCTTATGTGATGAGCTTTCATCATGTGACTTTCTCATCACCACCTGTTTTTGGTGATTGTCAGTGCATTTCAATGGCACAAAACTGATATTAGTACTTCAGTGGGTTGGTATATTAACATTATATCATTTTTTTTTACTGCAAATTTAAGTTAAGTCTGTAAAACCTAAAATGATGGCACCATACATTTTACAGTAAAGTTCTGGCAACCACAGCTGCTGGTATTTTACTGTAAATGTTACCGATTTTATTTTATTATTGTTTTTTTACAGCGTGTGTTTGCGTCATTCCAGTGTTTTCTTTCGCAAACAGAAGCGGAGTTGTGTAATTTGCATTCATTAATATTAATTATGTGTTTATTGAGCTGTTTAAATGTAATTTCACCCGCGGTCAAATCACAGCACTCCTGCTTGTGTGATAGTGCTTGAATATGCCGTTCATAAAAGAACATAAATTGTAAATAAAGTTGAAGATTTTTTGTTATATTGGAACAATTTTACGTTGCTAAACAATTCCAGAGAGGAGAACTGACGAAGCAAAGCGTCTTCCAGTAAACGTGACCTTGCCACAGTTTTTCATTCATCCATCCGCACCGCGCACTTTCCAAACTTGCAGTTTTCCCCCTCGCTCGCCAGCAGGCAGACCGGACTTAATGAATTCTGACCTAGCTGGGGGGACCTGCAAGATTTGGGGACTATTAGGTTACGCACCTTTCCGTAGGCTCCCCACGAGAGTTCAGTTTCAATGACCATCACTACGATGCCAAACATCCCAAAGATGAGCGCGTAGTCGCTCAGGCGCTTTCTTTTCTCAAACAGGGCCCTCCTGTGTCCGAGCTTCTGTCCAATGTTCTGGTTCTTCTTTTTGCCCGATTTGCTGCCGCTGTGGCTACATCCACCCCCTCCGCCGCCCCCGTCCCCCGCCGAGTAAGGCATGAGGGTGGTGGAGTTGTTCTCCGGCTTGGAGGCGAGCGCGTCGGACGCGTCCCCCGCAGAGACGGGCTGCAGCGGCTGGGACTCCGAATCAAACTCGTGCAGGTTTCTGCGGGACGAGCTCAAGTTGCTGAGCGGCCGCATCACGCCGCCGTTGTATCTGCAGCTGCTCATGGCTATTTGGGTGTAAGAGTTACTCTCTCTGTGGCTGCTGGCCGGACTGCCCCGAATTTGCTGCCGGTTGTGATCGCGATGAGGATGATGATGGTGGTGGTGATGGTGTCTGGATGAACTACCATGACTAGAGGGCGTGAACTCGCTGTACTGAGCGCCTTGCCTGGTTGAAGATGAGACGGACGGTGTCCTTAAAGTTCCCAGCGGCGTCCCGTGCAAAGGCTGGCTTTTTCTGGCATCCTCGCAGGTGGAGGAGCTGTTGCAGGTGCAGTGCCTGATGGAGCGCTCTTCCTCCCGTCCGCAGTAGTGCTGCTGGTGCTGCTTATAGTGCTGCTGCTGCTGCTGCTCTGGATAGAAATCGTTCTGCAACTGCAATGGGGTTTCCATCTCAGAGCTGCTGTTTAAAGCAGAGCCCCGTGCATTGCCCTACCGAGGGGGCGTTGTGATGAGTAACGGAGGATAAAAGCTGGCGCGAGGTTGGACCCACCTCGGCTTCTGTAGAAGTGCGAGCGCGCTTCTGATTGGCCGAGCGACCCAAAACAACTGGGCTGACGTCACGCGAGGAAGGTGGCAACATGCGGTTCAAATGTGCAGCATTCCCAACTCACTGGTTACTCAACATCTTATAGGTCTTTGACTTGTAAGGTATAATATTTATGGTGGTTGCTATATGAATGCGTGTTTCATAATACATTTATTTGGATTTCTTTTTAAATGTAAATTAAATGCATATAGAAATTGTAAAGATTTTTTTAGAGGGTTTTGTTAAACATTATGTTACACCATCAAAATCTGTCAACAATCACGCAATCGTTTAAAAAAAATCAAAACAAATCACCGAGCTGATCTGACATATGCATACCTTATTTTTAAATATGCGCAATTAATATAGTCAAAATAGGAGCATTTAGCTTCATTAATTCAATACTATGAACTACATAAAAAAAAAAAAAAAAAAATAAAATATATATATATATATATATATATATAACAATATAAAATTTTTGTAATCTATATAACCTACCAGTCAACAGTTTTTGAACAGTAAACAGTCAATGAGTCAGTCTTGTTCGCAAGAAGAGAAAGAGAGAAGAGTAAAAATGTCCACACACAATTCAATTTACGCAAAATTACGTTTTTAAAACTCAATTCATTCATTTTGGATATATTGTTTGTTTTCTCGATAGCTTGAAGAAAGTCGTGAACAAATGGAGGAATAAATTAAATCTCTCTCGCGCGTTGTTATTTGTGGAGAAAATGCTTAAACACTCTTTTTGCAGCCTCTTAAAGATCTGTAGGCATGCCAATCTTTAATAAAGGATGAAATACAAAGTGAATAATTTAATAACGCACTCATTATACACAAAAGACTTTCACTTGGAATGGTGTTACCTGCAGAAAGTTCCGAACGCATTTGAATGGATTGTTTTAGTGAACCGATTCAAAAGATCTGATTCAGTTAGATGAATCAAAATCGCCACTGGTCACCTGACTAGGTTTACTCGCAAGACTGGCTGACTTTAAACAATAGCAGCATGCCACAAAATTAGGGAAAACAAACAAGTTAATTTCTACACTTTCCAGACACAAACGGGCAATTCTCATTTATTAATCAGAGCGTTCCCTTTCAACGAATAGCCTACCATTTACATTGCTGCATGATAAATGCAATGTTATTAGATTATTCGTCTGATGATGCACTGAGAATCAGTCCGTTTCTATGCTAATCTTTATGCAAAGGCATAATATGAAGACCAGCACGTGTGAAACAGTCGCTGCAGTAATAAATGCAGTCGCAGCGTCAGCAGCATCTGAAACCCTTTGTTATTGTTGTCTCGCCTCTTGCCAGCTTGCATCCTTATGAAACAAGATCAAGCGAACTGGTGCACAGGACTGCTGTCAGTCAAATAACCAAGAGCTCACAGTCGGCCATCTCATTACATCTCGCCAGAGTTTGAATGAAAGAACAATGAGTTGATTTATGCGTTGCGATTCGGAAACTAGACAGATTTACTTGACTTAAACAGGGCAGGTTGCATTCAAAGACATGTGATGGTTTTATACTGCTGCATTTTTCAGTGGGAAAGTAGGCCTACTTTCTTACATATTTTGTTCAGTTTATTTGTTCAGTTCACTTGAGTCTTATGTTTTTATGTAAATGTAAAAAAAAAGAAAAATTAAACTTGTAACTATTCAATCTTATCTATTTTACTGTATACACTATATACACTATACACTGTATAGTGAAATATTACATTTTTGTATTATTACATTGTATATTGTGAAATATACATTAACGTTTTATTAATATTATTAAGAGACATTATTAAATATTATTACAATAAAAAAATGTTTTCTATTTGAATATATTTTACAATGTATTTTATTCCTGTAATGACCGCTGAATGTTCAGCATCATTGTCACATGATCCTTCAGAAATCATTCTAATAAATCATTCCAATGCTCAGATAGTTTTGGTGCTGAGTTATTAATAATGATTCTTCTTATCAATGTTAAAACAGTTTTTGCAGCTTAATATTTTGTGGAAACATTTTTTCAGGATTCTATGAAGAATAGAAAGTTCAAAAGAACAGCTTTTAGTTGAAATGGAATCCATTGTAACATTGTGCATGTTTAATGTAATTTTTATTAATTTAATGCATATTTGCTGAATAAAAGCATGCATTTCTATTACAAAACAAGCAAACATATACACACATTCCCCAAGCAGTTGAATGGAAGTATATCATGGTTTCCGCTTAAATATTAAGCAGCACAACTGTTTTCAACAGTGACAATAATGTTTCTTGAGCAGCAAATCAGCATATTATAATGTAAAATACAATTTTAAATAAAAAAAACTTGACTACTAACTAGAATGAGAAACATCAGTAAAGTGTTGCCAATGCAAACAGTGTAATAAGCCTCTCCAGGGCTTGCGTTGTTTTTGCCTGACGGCCTCCAGTGCTTTATTGCTTTCTTCCAGTCAGACACTATCATTCCAGAGACTCCTGAAAGCAAACGTCCATCAGGATCATCTCATTGCCCTTTCTGACTCTGACTCTGATATTGAGATAACAGGCAGTTCCATGATGCCAGTCAGGTCAGGAATCAACTTCAGTATTTGTGCTTGAGGCCGAGGCATAATATAAAGCGCTCCCACACTGTAAAAAAATGTTTATAATTTTTACAGAAAAAGACTGAAATTCTATAGTAAAACCTATTTATTTGTTAACTGTTTATGGTTTAACAATGTTTATTTGTTAACTGTTTATGGTTTAACAATGTAATTTTACTGTAAAATTTTGTGGTTTTTGAAAGGAAAACTATGAATTACCATATAATTTATTGCGAAAAACAGTAAAAGGACATTCCCAGAAATCCCTGTTACATATCACATTCAATTAAATTAAATTCAATTCAAGTTTATTTGTATAGAGCTTTTCACGATACAAATTGCAAAGCAAAGCAACTTTACAAAGCAACTTTACAGCAAATTAAGTTTCTACAATATTTAGTGGTAGCTTATCAGTGGTGACTGACTGTCAGTTAACATATGGCAGAAATGTACGGAAAAATCAATTAATAAAGACGTAATCAAACAGACGATGAACACTATTAACAGCAATTATTATATGATGCAATCAAACTTACAGCAAAATGTGGTAGTTCTGTAAGTTGTTTCAGGGTTGGCATCATCTGAGGTCCTCTGAGGGGTTGGTATCATCTCTTCTCAGGTGTTCTGGATCCAAACTGAATCCTAGTTACTGGCAAAAACAGAGAAAAAAATAGAGACATAATTAGCGTAGCTGCTGCTAATTAGCTATCACATCTAAAAATAGCTATCTCATTTTTGTTATCAGTACTGTACATTAGGGTGTTTTGTGTTACATTTTCTGCTATTCAACTAATGTTTTTACATTATTTTAGTGTCGTGTGTTACTCGGATGTTGTTTTATGGTCTACAGTATATACAAGTATTGGCCATATTTTAGCAACAGGCTATTTATGATGTACTTACAATGATTCATCGTGTGACTCTCTATTGAACGACATGCATTATTAAAGTGGTTATCAGTACATTTTAAGGTAAAATGCAGATTTTGTTATATAAACATTATATCACTTTAGGTGTAAAATATACAGGCACCAATATGCCGTCCTGCAATACACGAAACACTGTCACTGTATTTTTTACAGTGAATTTCCGGCAACCACAGTAAATTTAACAGGTTATTTAATATTTTGTTAATTTATATTTTGGATTTTTTTATATTTTGTCAATTTAACAGGAGACAGTGCATGCAAAACTGCATTGTACAGTTGTTGTTTTTTTTGTACTCTATACTGACACTCTAGCTGACTAATCAACAATGTTGTTGACTATTTTCAAGAGTTATCATTTTGATCAAATATTTGCAGCCTTACAAGATTATATAATGCAAAAAAGTCTGCAAGTTCTGTCTGCACATACTTTGAAGTGCTCACATGCAAAAAAATGCATGTACAATATTTATATATATATTGGCCCAGTTTCTGAAGGGAGGGCATCATGTTCTGCTTCAGAATGTCACAGTACATGCTGGAATTCATGTTTCCCTCAATGAACCGCCGCTCCCCAGTACCAGCAGCACTCGTGCAGCCCCAGACCATGATGCTACCACCACCATGCTTGACTGTAGGCGAGACACAATTTCCTTGGTACTCCTCACCAGGGCGTCGCCACACATGCTGGACACCATCTGAGCCAAACAAGTTTATCTTAGTCTCATCAGACCACAGGACATGGTTCCAGTAATTCATGCTCTTGGACAGGTTGTCTTCAGCAGACTGTTTGCGGGCTTTCTTGTGAGCCAGCTTTAGAAGAGGCTTCTTTCTGGGACGATGGCCATGCAAACCGACTTGTTGCTCAAAAGCAATGCTGGCAGCACTCATGCGTCTGTTTTTTGAAGCCAGCTTCTGTACCTGACGCACAGCACGAGGACTCAACTTCTTTGATCGATCCTTTTAACTGCTCTAATACAAGATACACAAATTTGTATGGTCCTGACAAGCAGACAAAAACATGAACATGATGAATAGGACATGTATATCGTTAAACGACATACAGCTGTTATCACTTAGGGTGTACTCACTTTTGTTGCCAGCTATTTTGACAATAATGGCTGTATGTTGAGTTATTTTCAGAGGACAGTAAATCTGCTATACAAACAGCACATTGACTACTCTAAAATATATCCACATTTCATTTCTATAGTATTGTCCCTTGAGAAGGTATACTAAAATGGTTGCTGAAAAGTGAGGGGTGTACTCACTTTTGTGAGATACTGTATATATGACTCGACCTTATAATTGATAATGAAAATGTATTGATTTTATCAAATAGTTGTAGCCCTACAAAATGTTACAATGGTATGTTTGATACTTTGATATCAAGGCAAGAAGAGCCTAAGAAGAAGAAAGTGCTATCGTCTGAGGATGAGATATCACTGTCTGAGGAAGAGGAAGTAACTGGTGAAGAGGAGGCTGAAGCACAGCAGAACAACAAGATCTACCTCACAAGCTCTACAAACACAGCAGAAAGGATCACCT